GACAGAAAATGTCAATAAACAGCAACATAAAGTGATTGAGAAAAGTATGCCAATGGAAAGTGATATAACTTGTCCTGCATATTTCTTAATAGAAAGCAAATAATAAAGGTAAGGAAAGAATTATTTTTAACAGGTGTTGGTTGATTCTATCACTCCTATTATACCAGGAGTTGGCAAACTACAATTTACACGACAAACTGGGCCCATCCACCTGTTTTTGTATAGCATGTGGGCTAAGAATGGTTTTTATATTTTTAAATGATTTTAAAAAATCCAAAGAAGAATATTTTGTGACACATAAAAATTAAACACAATTCTATTTTAGTGTTCAAAATGTTTTATTGGAATACAGCTGTGCTCATTTCTGATATTAAACTATCTTTACATTTCAAGAATAACATTCATAAGGTAAATGAGTCTACACTTTTCTCTTCTGGTGGTCTTTATCTTATTTAGCAACAGGATTACATTGGCCTCAGAAAATAAGCTACGCTCAGCTTTTATTCTATTTTCTTCAATAATTTGGATAAAATAGGAACTAACTATTCCTTGAAAATTTTATAGAACTCACCTGTAAACTCCTTTTGGACCTAGAAATTTTGAGGAGAAGGGATTTTTAATATTTCAATTGTTTAAAATAATTATCATCCTATTCACATTTTCTATTTCTTCTTATGCCAATTTTGACATTTTATATTTAGGAATATATATCTATTCCTAGAACTTTTATTTTTATAATTTTTTTATTTAGCCTTTATTATTGAGATAAAATTATTTATTCTAGTATGTTCTAGATTTTACTTTTCTGCCTCAACCCTTTTTCTTTATTAGACAGCAATTTATTCATCTCATCTTTCAGAAGAACCAGTTTTTGTTAATCTTTCAAAAACATAACTTACTATTTCTCCACATCAACAAAACCAAACAATATAATAAAAAAAATAGCCATACACTATAGCCATAAGATAATAAGTGTTTAGGAATTAACTTAATCAAAAATATACAAGCCTCCTATTGAGGAAAAACATTTTTTAATTCAAAAAAAGACAAAGATCATGATCTCAATAAATGGGGAAATATTATGTCCTTGCATGATGCAATTTAATATGCCAATTCTTCCCAAATTAACCTCTATATTTAATTAAATCCTACTGAAAATCACTCTCATACTTCTTGAAGGATTCAGTAGACATATTCTCAAATTTATATGAAAGAATAAAGGTCCACGAATAGCTAGCTCGGTTAACTCTGAGAAAGAAAAGTAATGAGAGAGACCTATTCTTAACAGATACTAAGACATACTACAAAACCATAGGGATAAAAGAAATGTGGCCCTGCTACAAAAACAGATAAAAAGACCAGTGAATCAGAATAGAGGTCAGAAACAGATCCCAGTAACTTGAGAAGTAATACACAAGAAAGGTGACACTACAAATCAATAAGGAAATAATGTATTTTTTAGTGGATGATAGCATAAAAACTGACTTAGTATATGGGAGGGGAAAACAAACACCTGGAATCTCATCTAATACCAACAACAAAGGTAGACTCTAGACCTGAATGGCAGATGCCTGTGTTTGTAAATAAAGTTTTATAGAAACAAGCCATGCCCGTGCATTTATGTATCTCTATGGCTGCTTTGGCACTACAATGGCAGAAATGAATAGTGTGACAGAGACCACTGGATTGCAAAGTCTAAAACATTTATTATCTGGCCTTTTAAGAAAATGTTTTCTGACTCCTGTTATAGAAGAAGATCTTAATACAAAAGGTAAAACTATAAAGGAAAATAAATCAGAATATCTTTTGACCTTGGTGTGGGGGAGAACTTCTTAAATAAAACAAAACCCTTAATTATAAACAATAAGGCAAAAAAACTCTTGAATCTGATTACACTGAAATTAAGGATTTCTGCTCAGTAAATGACATCATGGATAAAAGTAACTGATAAAAGACCGAAAGAAGTTATTTGCAAAGTCCAAAACTAATAAGAAACCAATATCTCTAATATAGAAACACCTGTAATTTAAACAAAAGGAAAACAAGAATACCAAAAGAAAAGCACAAAATTTAAAGAAGCAATCTGCAGAAAAGAAAACCTAAATATACAGTACACATAGGAAGAGCTGCTCAAACACATCAGTTAATCAGAGAACTGCAAATTAAACCAACAATAAGATGTCACTTTACACCTTTAGACTGGCTAAAATTAAATAGCTAAACTTAGGCATTATTTGGAAACCCAGTTTCTCCTGATTATGGTATCAACTAACAATCCGAAATGAAAAATCCCTCTACTCTGGAAATAAAATCTAAGAAGCAAAATACAATAGATATGTATTTATATTCGGTCAGCATCTTACTGAATAGAGATATTCAGCAATCGTTAGCTGAACTGAATATATAGCTATGAGTGCACTAGCATTCATAACATATGTTAAGAAAATAAATATAGCTAAATATTCACATTAACTAGCTTTTTTTTTTAATTCAAGTGTTTGCAGGTCAGAAAATCAGCCAGAATAAATTGAAATGTTTTCTTGCTAATCTGAACACAAATTTTTACTTGAAATTTTGTTTGACATATTTTTAAGGATTTTAAAATATAATCCTGCAGTTTCTAAAATAATTGGCTTATTTTATTCTTGATTGAAAGTACACATAGATACATAACATTAGAGATAAATGGAAGCAGAATTATATTTCTCATGCTCTTTTAAAGTTTTACAATAATGTATGCCAATCAATACATATAACATACACTATTTAACAACTTCTAAACAAGCTGTTCCTTCTTCCTTCCTCCTCTGTTCATAGTTCTACAATTACAACAGTGGCCCACATCAAAACCACTGGCAGCCCCCGTCACATCTTTGTATGCCACTGCCGTGAATAGCAATTAATTTGGATTTATTGTCCTCTGCCACAGTTCTCACATCTACTTCTCCCTTCCTCACCCACAGCCATTACTCAAATTCTGGCCTCAAGCTTAGTAATGTTAACACCTGTTAATTCCTTTTCTTTCTCCTTTATTCTATCTCCCTGACTATCCCCTCTTCCTTCCTGCCTCTTCCTCCTCCTCTCTCACTGCTTCCATCTATCTCACTGGTATTTTCTGAGTCTCTATTATGTCCCAGAGGCACTGTTCTATTGTTGAGGATACAGCAGTGATAATGACAGACAAGGTCCCTGCGCTTTCAGGGTTTTCTCTTGGTTCTTTACATATGTTCTACATTCAACTATAAAACAAAATTTCCCATTGAACTGCTTTGTCCCTTGCCAACCCCATTTAAAAATATCCACTTGTTTTCCATAGCCTGCAAGATAAAGTCCAAACTTTCCAGATGGCTTTCCAAGACCCTCCATTCTATCTTTCCAGCTAAATCTGCTACTACCTGCATTATGCATACGCTTGGCTTCAGCTAAACCTGAGTACCTGTTTAAAACTATATCTGGCCAGGTGCGGTGGCTCACGCCTGTAATCCTAGCACTCTGGGAGGCCAAGGCAGACGGATTGCTTGAGGTCAGGAGTTCGAAACCAGCCTGAGCAAGAGTGAGATGCCGTCTCTACTATAAATAGAAAGAAATTAATTGGCCAACTAATATATATAGAAAAAATTAGCCAGGCATGGTGGCGCATGCCTGTAGTCCCAGCTACTCGGGAGGCTGAGGTAGGAGGATTGCTTGAGCCAGGAGTTTGAGGTTGCTGTGAGCTAGGCTGATGCCACGGCACTCACTCACTCTAGCCTGGGAAACAAAGTGAGACTCTGTCTCAAAAAAAAAAAAACTATATCTATGGCAAAATGGATAAGGTAAAATATGATAAAGATATAGGTTAAATGGAGAAACAACAAAATAAACTATAAAAACTTAACACAATGTAACATAGAAAAACCAAATAGTAATTGAAGGATAAGAAAACAGCCTACTCCCTGTTTCCCACAAGTATTTTATGATTGTCCTACTAATGCCACAGGACACCTAAGACATGAGAACAAGACTTTCCTCTCAAGACAAGGGATGCCAATCACTCTGGAAAAGATGAAAAAGGGAGGCCTTTGAACTATGAAGATAAGGTCTTATCTCCGAGGCAAAAATCAACTAGAAAGGAAGAAGGCCCTCTCTAAGAGTCCTGAAACAAACCTAGTGGTAGCAGTGAGCTGACCCAGACATATTGGAGTAGGCCAGAAGTGAAGGGCAATATAAGCCTCTACTATTCACTGGCAGTGACAGAATCAACAGCAGCACAGAGAAGCAGCCAATTTCTGGCGCAATCATATTAAGGAAGCAGCTGTGGCACTCGCCAGTTTCAACAGGATGCATCGAAGTTCTGCTCAACTAGAAGGAGTAGAAACCGTAACTAATGCTTTGAAGCCAAAGCTGGATTTGGGGCCTAAGTACAGTGTCAAGAGGAGAAGGCCAGAGAAAATGACCCTGAGGACTTACATGAAAATGCTCATGAGGCAGCAGGGCAGAAACTTGCAAATCGCTAGAGGACACACTAAAGTGGCTTATTTCTAGTGGGCTGAGGAGATCTGTGTCATAATAATTTGTGTATAATAAGAAAGTGCAATTTTATTTTATAGTCACAGGAAGAAGACATCAAGGACTTAAGGGCTATATGTTCACTTTTTTAATGACAATTATCACTGTCTTATTTTTGTGTCTTTCTTTTTTACTAGATAGTGAGCAACTTTAAAGAAGAAACTACAATCACTATAAGATAAATTTTCCCATTAAACTGCTTTGCCCCTTGCCAATCTTTATGGATCTTTCTATTTCCCACAAAACCATGCAAAATGAGACTTCACATAGTGGAAGTACAACTATCTGTTCAATGAATAAATAAACTCATCTTTACCTTCTAGGTAGAGTCTGTAAAATGCTGGAAAATATTCTACATAAAAGATTACACTAATGTTACATTTGCAATAAGAATAGCTACCAAAATGATAAGTGCATATAAAATTATGTCTTTAAACAAAACAAAATCGACTTACTGGTAATCATTGCTCCAGTTACAGAAGCCAGAAATCCGATGCTGACTGCAATGAGGGAGATTACTCTTCCCTGCCTATGCCTCTGCAGCATCACAAACATCAACACGCCTGCAGCACCATGGACAAACAGAGAGGAGAAGAGAGCCCAGAGAAAGATCCAGTACCACATCTCTGAAAGAAAAAGCAAAATGTCAATCATTCTGTTGAAATACAGCTTAGAAAATCTGGTTTAACAAATAGTAAGCACGTACGGTTTAGGGGGATGTTAAATGAGATAATATATACAAATGCCTTGCACAGTACCTGACATACAGTAATAATAAATCATAAGCATTATCATCATCACTAATGCTTGATGGGGAAACAATTCCCTCCACGACTTCAAAAGGCTAAAGTCTGCTCTAATTTTCTCTAAATGTCCCTATTATATAGCTATCATTCATCACTTTTATAATAAACACCTAATGTATTTGTAAATGTCTTAGAATATATTATAAAAGTTAATTAATTGCTGTTTGATACATAATTTTCTATTTTCTACACTAAATAGCAGTGTTAAAATATTTTTTAAAACTATCTCCTAATACAAATCTTTCCAGAAATCAGTCATTGATTTTACCTTTATGACTTAAGAATTTCAGGAAATTCCTCTTATGGTCCTCAGCTTTGTATATGAAAAAATCAGTCAGCATTTTTTTTTCAGTTCTCTGCCTCCTGTCATCCCAATACTCCTAATCCAGAACTTCTCAAGCTCCTCAAGCTCCGTTATTCTTTCTTCAATGTGTGTCCTTAATCGCTAATTGACATCTCAGTTTATAGATAATGAACGAGCACACCTTTCATTCTGTCTTGCATTTGTTACCTTTCCTTCTGGCTACCTACTGCCTCCCAGTCAAGCCACACAGTACCCACAGGTGTCCTTGCATTACTCCATCTCCCTGACCAGACTTGTGGTAAGGTACTGTGGGTATGGCAATTGATCAGAGCTGTGCCAGTGGTTCCTCTCCCTTGGGAATTCTGGATTGGGATCAACAGATTCTTCCCCTCGATCTTTTTGTTTTGTTTTGTTTTGTTTTGCTTTTGAGATAGAGTCTCACTCTGTTGCCCTGGCTAGAGTGCTGTGGCATCAGCCTACCTCACAGCAACCTCTCAAACTCCTGGGCTCAAGCGATCCTCCTGCCTCAGCCTCCCAAGTAGCTGGGACTACAGGCATGTGCCACCATGCCCGGCTAATTTTTTCTATATATTTTTAGTTGGCCAATTAATTTCTTTCTATTTTTAGTAGAAATGGGGGTCTTGCTCTTGCTCACGCTGGTTTCGAACTCCTGACCTTGAGCGATCCTCCTAGCTCAGCCTCCCAGAGTGCTAGGATTACCAGCCTGAGCCACCATGCCCGGCCTGATCCTCCTCAATCTTTAGGCAGCTGATACTGAAAGGTTCGGGATTTCTGAAGCCATTTCATCATCACACAGTGAAAGCCACAATACAGGAAGAAAGTATAATATTAATAAAATAGACCGATCTATCAAAGGACAAGAGACAACCAAGTCCCTTACCAGTAATTTATATGGCCCTGACACATTATCATCCTTGGATTCAATGTAACATCCTAGTTTCCTTATAATAAAACCCCCCTTTTAATTTAAACTAGTTCAGGTAAGGATTCTGTTACTTAGAGCTGAAAGAGATGACTCTACAATGTTTAGATGTTACCTTGAGTGAGAATCATCCTTGACACGCAAACATTCTATAATGCAAGGTTCTCATCTGGGATTTGTGCTAGGTATCTACTCTCTATCAAGTGTAAAAGTTAATAAAATAGCCATTAAATAAAGAGAACAAAAATGGATGAATTAAAAGCTATTTCTCCAAACATCATTAAAGTATGGATATACACTGTTGGCGTGAATGTAAAATGGCACAGCTGCTATGGAAAACAGTATGGTAGCTCTTAAAAAGATTAAAAATATGATCCAATATGATCTAATTCTTTTAGCTATAGACCCAAAAGAATTAAAAGCAGAATCTTGAAGAGATACTGGCTTATCAATGTTCATAGCAGTATTATTCAGAATAGCCAAGAGGTGGAAGCAATCCAAGTGTCCGTCAATGGGTGAAATGGATAAACAAAACACGTACATGCAACGGAAAATCATTCAGTTTAAAAAAGAAAAGGAAATCTTGTCACATGCTACAACATGAACGAACCTTGAGGACATTATGGTAAGTAAAATAAGCCAATCACGAAAGGACAAAGGATAAATACTATATGATTCCATCTATGCAAGGTATTTAAAGTAGTCAAATTCATAGAAACAGAAAGTAAAACAGGGTTGCCAGGGACTGGGGGAGGCAAAAAGGGAGAGTTTAATGAAGATACAGACAGTTTGGCAAGATGAAAAAGATCTGGATATCTGTTGCACAACACTGTGACTATATTTAACATTACTGAACTGTACCTTAAAAATGGTAAATTTTATATTTTGTGCTGTAAGAAATATATTTAGTCTTTGTCCCTAGTTCCTGGCACAGAGCTCCTAAAATCCTTGGAATTTTTTGAGTGACAGGAGTGTCTTTTGTTATTCGTAATAAGCCCCTGTGGATCACACCTGAGTTTATGCTCAGGATGTAACTTTTGGTGGGATTCCTACATAGCCTCAGGATGGGACTGCTCAGCAGAAAACCAAGTGATAACAGGGCTGGAACTTCCAGCTCTACTCACTGGCCTCTAGGAAGGTGGGTGGAAGGCTGGAGAGCAAGCTCTGTAAAAACTTTTGAATTACTAAATTTGATGAGCTTCTGGGCTGCTGAACACTGGAGATGCTGCGAGAGTGACAAATTTGGAGAGGATGTGGAAGTTCTGAGCCTCCCACCCCACCCCCCCCAACACCACCACACAAACCTTGCCCTGTGTGTCTCCCATCTGGCTGTTCTCACGTTGTAACCTTTATCATAAACCAGTAAACATAAGTAAAGTGTCTCCCTGAACTGTACTAGCCATTCTAGCAAATTATAGAACCTGAGGTGGGGGTTATGGGAACCCTGACTTATAGCCAGTCAGAAATATGGGAAGCCCAGACCTTCTATTGATGTCTGAAGTGGGAGGAGCAGTTTATGGGACTGAGCCCTTAACTTGTGGGATCAAACACTAACTCCAGGTAAATAGTGTCCAAACTGAATTGAATTGTGGAACACCCAGTTGGTGTCCTGGAAAATTGCTTGGTGTGGAAAAAACCCACAAATCTGGTCAAAGAAGTGATCTGTGTGAGGGTAGAGGAAACTGTCAGATATGTTTGTTACTATAATTTTTAAAAAATAAAAAAATTTGAAGTATGAATATACATTTAAAAGATAATTATTTTAAGTCAAGACCATAAATGACTAAAAATTTCAAAACAAAACAAAAACGCTCTTGTTTTGTTTTTTTTTTTTTGAGACAGAGTCTCACTCTGTTGCCTGGGCTAGAGTGCCATGGCATCAGCCTAGCTCACAGCAACCTCAAACTCCTGGGCTCAAGTGATCCTCCTGCCTCAGCCTCCCGAGTAGCTGAAACTACAGGCATGCGCCACCAAGCCCAGATAATTTTTCCTGTTTTTGGTAGACAGGGTCACGCTCTTGCTCAGACTGGTCTCAAACTCCTGAGCTCAAATGATCCGCCCACCTTGGCCTCCTAGAGTGCTAGGATTACAGGTGTGAGCCACTGTGCCTAGCCCCCAAAACACTCTTAAAAAGAAAGGAAGAGTATGGTTATAAAAGAGCCATAAGGGATATTTGTGGCAATGGAACTGTTCCATATTTTGACTGTGATATATATATATATGTAAGTAATAAAACTGTATAGAAATAAATACACACAGACATACACAGAAGAGTACAAGTATACAAGTAAGACTGGTGAAATCTGAATAAGGTCGGTGGATTATATCAATGTCAGTATCCTGGCTGTGATATTATACTGTAATTTTCCAAGATGTTCCCATTGGGTAAACTGGATAAAGGGTATATAAGCCCTCTTAGTTATTGGGTTTTACAACTGCATGTGAATCTACAATTACCTCAAAATAAAAAGTTTAATTTTTTTTAAAAAAGAAAGGGGGATATATAGAAAATAGATTTTTAAAAAAAATCAGCTTTATCCTGCCAAACTCTTAAGAATTGGCATATAAAATGGAATGAGGCAATTTGAAATCATTTCAAGGAAAAAATATCTGATATATTCTACAATGTGTGTTAAAATACCATGCATGCTTCTCGACAGCGTAAGACAGATGCTGGTGATTAGGGGAAAGTAGACAAAGCTTGCCTTTTAGAGGCTCTTCTCTTCCAGCTTTCAGGGAAAAAGAGTGGCTTCACACTGTCACTCCAAAACAAATGGCTTCAATTTATAATACATGAATTAAAGGTTAAAAAAAAAAAGCTTCACTTGCTCAGAAGATATTTATATATTAAAAGATATAATTTTCCAAAGTGAACTTAATAAAATGAGATTATAAGGGAGTAATAACATGGAAGGTGCATATTTTCATCAAGAGAGCTCTTTTCGCAACTTACTCTGAGACAAGGAAAGCCCTGCAACAACCATATACTCTTCAAAGAAGAGAAGTCAACAATTTGCCTTGATCCCAAGCTCATTCACAGCAGCTTTTATCTGATCTACTTCTCAAAAAGTACTTTTCTTTGTAGTCCTTGTAATATAATTAGAGGAAGTAATTCCTTGACTGTATTTAACACTATAAACAAGAGATTATCTGACATTATAAAAAGTAGTGTCGCTTACCTCCTGAATATATAGCTATTGGCCTCAACACAATAAATTTACCTAACATAAGGGAAAGTGAATTTTTTTTTATTTCAGCATATTATGTGGGTACAAATGTTGAGGTTTACGTGTGTTACCTTCCTCCCTCCCCAGTTAGAGCTTCAAGCGTGTCCATCTCCCAGACAGTGCGCATGGAACTCATTATGTATGTATGTACCCATTCCCCCCTTCCCCCTCCCATCTGCCCAACACCCAGTTGGTATACTGGAAAATGTTATTCCTATAATAAATATTATTCCTATATGTCCACTTAGGTGTTGATCAGTTAATACCAATTTGCTAGTGAGTACATGTGGTGCTCATTTTTCCATTCTTGGGATACTTCACTTAGTAGAATGGATTCCAACTCTAT